ACGAGTGTTGAGTTCTTAAGTATGTTTTCTTAAGTGTAAAAGTCAAAGCATGTTGCTAGTTTTGTAGTCTTGAATGTGGAAGTAGAGTTGAAATGGGTCTTAGCTTGCTAAACTGCTAACATAAAAGCTTCTTCTAGCTTTCCTTCTCTCTCACTGGCTTTTGCAGTATACTAAATTATAGAGGAAAAATATCTCTTTGACCTTGTTTCTTAGACAACTCAGAGTGCTGTATTGCTATTGGTATATTTAGACTGTGCATGTAGATAGTGGAATGTATATCCAATTGAATTTGAGGACTAGACTTTAATTGTTGTAAGTAGAAAGTACATTGCAGACAAACTTTAACTACGTTTTTTTTTTTTAATAAAATTGACCATAAGAGGGTTTCTGGTTCAGGAGATACTTGTACATGTGATTTGATAAAGGTCAGTTGATTTTATATGTGCTAAATCTGTTTGCTTTATGTTGTGTGCTAGCTTTCTCCTAATACCATCTGTGCTACTAAATAATTTTCATATACAATACTCCTATTAGCTGTTAACAAATCTAGTATGGAGTTGGGACTATGACCTGTATTGCATTGATGAAACAGCAGTAAGTTGTTAGTCATGTATCTTCGTTGTTTTATTGTCCTTTTATTGCAGCATATTTGAAAAAGAGCGAAAATTTCTTCTGTTTTTATATGAAAACAAATTGCTTGGTTTAATGGTTCCAGGCTTGCAGCATGTTATAGTGGAGCTTGAAAAAAGAGTTTGCTCTGGAAGATTTTACAAAAATAAAACGTTCCCTGCTGGTTAGTTGACTAAATGACCTCTTTACCATCTCCAATTCTATTTCTCAACTTTGTTTTCATGATTTTTTTTTTTTTGGATCCAACTTGTTAGTGCGTCAACAATTTCTTAGAGCTCTCAGAGTGAAGGGTTTATGGCAATTACGTTTCAAAACTCTGTGTCTAAGTTCCAAGATTCGAAGTCACGGCTGATTCAGGTATAGATTGTTTACAATTTGCTTATACACGTGGTTCTTGTTTTATATGTATGAACATAGTTACTTGAGTTTGTAGAGATATCTAGCATGCTTTTGAAACCTCCTCCTAACAATCTGGCATGTTTATTCTTATGTTGAAGATGCTTAAGCGTTTTTATTCATAATAAGATGCTAAATGTTGGCATGCATATAAATATATTTCTCTTGCATCGAGCGGAGCATTTTCTCCATCATCAAATATATTTAAATACGACCACATTTCTACATTATCCAATCTAATATTCTTTTTTAAAACAGGCTCTTCAGATTGTCAATCTCCATCTACTAGTCTTCCATCGGGATCCTACCCAAAATCTGAAACTT